ATAACCCCAGTAACCCTCTAAAACCCAGATAACCCCAGTAACCCTCTTTAAGGGGGTCTAACTCTGAAGTTACGCCACTATCTGATGTTATTTAGCTCTTTAGAAACATTTCACTGTGTGAAGGACCAGACTGAATCAAGGACAAAGGTGTTCCAAAAATGAGAAAATGTTCAATTTAATAATATAAAAAAATGGTAACAAAAGGTCTTGCTTACACACAATACAACTAAGAGTATAAATAAACCAACTGAGGTCAACAGAACCAAACAGAAACCAAACTGACCTCCAGACAGAACCAAGTTGGCTTAAATAGGGGAGGCTAAACTTCCCACATGAGGGAAAAACATAATAGAGGTACAATAAACACAAAACTTAACAAAATAGAAGGAAAATCATATTTAACTTAATAAATATAATATATTAAAAAGACAAAATAGCTTAGGCTCAATTGAACTTAGCTTCAAAATTAATATTACCCCCTCCCTCAGTCTTTGGAACAATGGTGTCTTCCAAGGCTTCCACCTCCAATCAGTTATTTTGGGAGTAGTTTTTACTTGATATCTTTTATTTTGAGAGTAGTTTTCATTTGATATCTCTTATTTGGAGAGCAGTTTTTGTTTTATATCAGTTCATTTGAGAATAGTTTTTATTTGATATCTCATTTTTTGAGAGTAGTTTTTGTTTGATAGCTCTTATTGTGAGAGTAATTTTTGTTTGATATCAGTTCATTTGAGAGTAGTTTTTACTTGATATCTGTTATTTTGAAAGTAGTTTTTTTATGTTATTTTAGAGTAGTTTTTGTTTGATATCAGTTATTTTGAGGGTGTTTTTTGTTTGATATTTGTTATTTTAGAGTTTTTTTTAAATATATTTGTTATCTTTATTATATTCTTATTTGATATCTTTTATTTTGAGAGTAGTTATTGTTTTATATCTGATATTTTAGAGTAGTTTTTGTTTGATATCAATTATTTTGAGGGTAGTTTTTATTTGATATCTGTTATCTTGAGAGTAGTTTTTTTTTATCTGTTATGTTGAGTGTATTTTTTTTATCTGTTATTTTGAGTGTAGTTTTTGTTTGATATCAGTTATTTTGAGAGTAGTTTTTATTTGATATCTCTTATTTTGAGAGTAGTTTTCTGTTTGATAGCTGTTATTTTTATAGTAGTTTTATTTGATATCTTATTTTTAGAGTATTTTTAGTTTGATATTTGTTATTTTTATTATAGCCTTATTTGATATCTTATTTTTAGAGTAGTTTTTTGTTTGATATCTGTTATTTTTAGTAGTTTTTTGCGGGTGCAGTTCCCCTCCGGTCCTTTAGGTGGCGCCACCCGGACTTCCGGTCTTTGAAGAAGCCGCCCGGCAGCACGCGCGTGGAGGAGCATCACAAACCACAACATGGGCAAACGGAGGCAGAAAACACAGCTCTTCACTAATTTATCCAAGAAACAGAAGAAACACCTGAAGGAGTTTGGAGAGGAGCATCCGTTTCATGACGTGTGAGCAGATAAGCGGCTATTTTTTTTATTAATAAAGAGACAAACCGTTTGTTTTTAGCTAAAACTTTAAGCATTAGCACACCGAGGGGCAGCCTGTTAGACAGAGATCACTTATTTTAATTGGTTTCTATCAAATATTTAAAGTGTGTGCTATAAATTCGACTAGTAAACTTCACAAGGCATTTCAAGTTCAGATAAAATTATTAATAAATAGAAAAATACATGAAAAGTTTACCAGTAAGGAAGTATTAAACGATGTTTACTGCATATTAGACGTGTAAAAAAGCTTTATTATAAAATGAATGTTCTCACATAAATAATGATTATATACAAATATTTGGCAGTAACTATTGGTCTTATGTGTATAATTATGAATTGAGTTCTTAAAATGGTATAAATCAGGAAGTTAGTTCATAGTGGTGCTTTTACAATCTCATTATTATCTGTGACCTAATAATATGTTTGTGTTTTACAGGGTAAATGAAAGGCCGGAAAGGACAGAGGTGGTGGAACTGGTTAGTAGAGCTGACATGAGTTATTTTTAATACTAATGACAAGAAAAGTGGCATCTACAGTTGATCAGACATAAATGTTTGTATGAATGTTTAATCTGAGCTCCTTTATTTGGCATCACAGACAGAAAAACCGTGATAAAGTTGCCTTACAAGATGTTAAAAAATCAAAACTGGCCCAGGATTTTGTACAAAGAGAGTTTGTGTCCGAAACTATAACCCTAAGAAAGGTAATAATTTATTAATTTGTGTTTTTTTTAAATAGCCGGACGAATTGTTCTTCTGTCATCTTCGGCTTTTCTTTGTATTAAGGACACAAATAACTCATTTGAAAACACAAAGCATCATGTTCACAGACAGATGTTGGAGGGTTTTGTGTCCATGTTTAAAATTAAGGCATTCTCGATCTTCTGTTTTTTGTAAGGAAAATATGACTGAAGAAAACTATTCATGGTGTCACAAGTCCAGTGAAGCTCTTAGTTATGTGATTTAATGCCAACAGTTACTTTTTTTTTAATTTGATTTAAATTTGTTATTGGTATATGAGGGGACATTATCCCTCCTTATTATGAAGCATACGGGGCCTAAAAAGGACACATGAAGAGAAATTGACCCAACGATCTTCTGTGATGCTTCAACGAAATCCAGACAGCAAATTTAGAAAGTGAAAACTAAAATGTTTAAGAATGATGAGCCAAACATTGAATGACCAAAACGAATGGTACATTAACAAAAAGATGAACAAACCAGAGAACTACGTGATCCATACTGATTAAAGAAAACCTCCCAGATTTGACTAAATAAATTTCTTTTATTCTTTATTATTATTCTTTATTTTATTTTATTCTATATTTTTATATATTTTTTTCTACATTGTATGTCCTTTCTTGCTTCTCATAGAAGTGTTGTGCACCAAACACCAAGGCAAATTCCTTGTAAGTCTAAAAACCTACTTGGCAATAAACCTTATTCTGATTCTGATAACCTGTCATTTTTAGCCCCCGAGTCCCGAACAGTCTGATGCTGAGGCTGATGAGGAGGAAGAGGAGGAGGAAGAGGAGGAGCAGAAAACAGCCTATCAGAAGCTTCTCTCAACTCTGAGTGAAGCCCAGAGTGAAGAAGAGGAGAGCAGTGAGGAGGAAGAGGAGGAGGAGCTTATTGAAGAAGAAGGTAAGCTGTTTGTTTTTTTGTTATGTTTTTTTTTTTAACAGACTTCCATTTGGTCTTTTCCTATTGGCTGAAAACACTCATCCCTGTAGATGGAGAAGTGAGTGAGGATGGAGCTGAAGAAGAGGAGGCAGCAGAGGAGGAAGAGGGAGTAGAAGAAGAAGAGGGAGTACAGGAAGAGGAAGGAGTAGAAGAAGAAGAGGAGGGAGGGGATGAATTTGTGGACAAGGAGCATGAGGCTGATTTCTGTCTGGAGACTAATTTCACAGAACCGGAGGAACATCAGGAGGAATCTGAAGACACAACAGGTGGGAAAGAAGGAGGCAAATATTTAAAATCCTCAACTCTTCCAAAGAAAAAGGTCTGGAAATGCAAATGTGTTTATCTTTTTTTACCTTTCAGATACATTTTTCCAACATTTGGACACAGAGCTGACTGAGGAGGATGTAGAGAAGATCTCATCTGGATCCAAGTCTAAGACCCAGATAGAGGTATGAATCCCAGTTTATTATGTTTTAACTTCATCTTTATCTCAATCTTTACAGGTTACATAGAAATATACACAGTCCCACATTTAGTCTGCTGTTCTTTACTCAGGATAAACTTCAAACAACTTTAAAAGTTTATGTATCAGGTTAAACTTACAAGTAAAATAGAAACATGATTAAACAAGAGGAACATATAAACAGCTATAAGGGGTACATTAATAAGCAATGCAAATAAAGATAAATGAAAGAAATTAAATAAAAAATAAGACAAATATCAAATCTATTTAAGAAAAATAAATAGAAATAATTTTAAAAAATAAAAAGGAAGAATATATTTTTTAAATGCTATAGTAACAGCTATAAGTGGTAAATTAATAATAAATTCAAATGCAGATAAATGAGAGAAATAAAATTAAAAAATGAAACAAATATAAAATATATTTAAGAAAAATAGATAAATAGAAATAATTAAAAAAAATAAAAAGGAAGAATATTTTTTTTAAAAAGCTATAGTAACAGCTATAATTGATAGATGAATAATAAAAATAAAAAATAAAATAAAAATAGACAAATATAAAATATATTTAAGAAAAATAAATAAATAGAAATAATACATTTTTAAAAAAGGAGGAATGTTTTTTTTAACAGAATATAGAAATAAAAATTAAAAAAAGAATTTTGACTAATTTTTGGTTTATTTTTCATGAAACTGAAT